ATATATATATATTGTAAGATTGCTTTATATATATTATTAATATAGAATTTTATTGGTAATTAGAATTTCTTCCTATTTTGACTTTACTGAAATGTTATATTTATCATATTATATCATACAAACCTATCAAAATATATATTATATAACACGTTACGCTGTTATACTAAATTATGTGACACTGTGTAAAGCCCCGTATTACTTTACGTTGTATGCATTTACGATCGAACACGTTGCAGATATGTTCCTGTTGGAATTCTAGAGAAACCACCGCAGAGGATCAACGAGCGGCCGCCGTTCTACAGAGGTCGCAATGATATGGAGACGTTGATGGCCAGTTCCAATTGTGCCGACTGGGTGAAGTTATCGTAAGACTATTATTTCGAAACTACCGATTCTCATCAGATCAGGTCAAAATTGACCTCGGCTGTAATCGCGATATTTACAGACCCATCTCATTCCAGAGAAATGTTGCTTGGAAAAGTGCCTGATGGATTCCACTTTTTGCCGAAGCACAAGGCGAACTCGTGGAAGTAATTCTGTTGCGAAGAAGCGAAGTCGTGGTGACGAGCGGGCTTTTCAGCGAGTGAAATACGTTACCACATATATATATATATTTGCGAATTTCCGCAATAAATAATTTCTATAAGAGAGAAAACTGGTGGGATCGTTAGCTGGTATTCGTTATATTTCATTTATTCATATTTGTAATACAGTGAATAAATATTTTTAAGAGAGACCTCGTTTATATTGCAGATACGTTTCCGAAGTTTTTCGATACCTTTGTAATGAATTGTCGAACTCGTTGATTCACACGGATTCGCCGTCGATAGATCGGTAAACAGTTCTTATATCGCCGAGACTTGTAACAGGCCACATGCAGTCGCAACCGCTGGCGACTTCATGGATCGTGTGCGGTTCCCAGCAATCGCTATCCCATCGCCGTTTGGATAGAAGCAGCGATCGGCTTCTCTGCACACATTCAAACTTTGGATGGGCGCATTTCTGGAAAACGTGAATAAAAGACCATTATTATGTAACACAATTGCGAAAAAGCAACTTCGTCAAGAGATTTCAGGTTCTGCACCTGTTTATTTACGTCACTGCGCGAATTTACCTGTTGCGAAGATTTCCTCGGCATTACTTCCTCTTCACCTGGCAATGGATAGTTCTTGCAGAAGGTCTCGATATAGTGCGACGGCTGATATTCGAAAACGGAATTGTCCAACTCCACTTTTCTTGTTTTTTTTTCACACAGATCCTGATATTTCTGTTTTGTTTGTGTGAGTTAAGAAAGAGAGAAAATTAATACAGATATATTATCTCAATATAACATTACGTGCAACATATAGACGCTTGAATTAGAGATAAATATTTAGCGGAAGTATATGTAAAAAGACAGGGGGGGGGGNAGATTTTTACAAAATTATTAGAATTCTATATAACTGAAGAGCATATCGACCTTCTGCCTTAATTTGTTATCCTTCCGTTTCATGTATGCTATTTATAATTTAAGAACTGAAATCTACTATTGTCTACCATTAAAAAATTTATGTTCCTTATGTCGTTTTTATTATCATGGTTTAAATCTGATCAATGATTAACTCAGCGGAATTGACCAATCGCATCGATCAGTTCAGCTAATTTTCCAATGTGATTAATTCATTCTGTTGAGTTAATTCGATTAAATGTAAACAATGATGTTAAAAATGGGCAGTAATCATTACTGACAGTTTTCTTGCGCTAATAGAAAGTGGTAAAATTGAGAAAAATGTTATAAAGAGAAAGCTATATAATATTCTCTTTGTGTAGAAAGAGACTTTGTGTTAAAAGAAACTGACAGAAATTCGACAGAATTCAAAGCATCGCGAATTTTAACACATTGGCGACGGATGACACATACTGTAAATACGTCATTTAGGTTTTGTATTTGGGTGCGGATAACGCGAATATGCGTAATAGCCATCTTCATACATCTGTCTCAATATACATTTATAAGACGTTATTAGTAGCTCAATTTGTCGTCAGAAATGTCATGTTAGATGTTCCACGAATTGAAAAAATTGGTTATTGGTTTATCTTTCTGTTATAATCAGTAATGAGCGCTACCGAGACAGGGTCTCTCTTCTCACTCTACTCTTACTCTACTCTCGCTCCACTCATGTCGACAACTGACTCTTGTCTGGATACGATTTGGCAGGCTCGTCTTCAGACAAATGACAACAGAGTAACAGAAAATTTTTTCTAATGTTACCCAAATAAAACAATAGACGCCAAATCGCCTCGTATCCACATCAAACGCGGCACGTAACGCCCCGTTGCCAATGTGTTAATATAAATAATTATCTTTTAATACAATGTTACGCGTAATATATAAAGACATTTGAATAGATAAGTATGTAGAAAAAATATATAAATTGAAAAAAACACACACACACGTCTAGAATTGAGGTTCGACAGAATTCGAAACATCAAATTTTCATCGAGAATTCAATTTGAGAAATTGAATTCTTGAAATCTCCCTTGTTCTCCCCCCCCCCCNCCTCTTTTCAAGCGCAGTTAGCTTTGGAAAATACCACTTGCTTCTATCTTCATGTACATGAAATCATTATTAAATTTATTATTAAATCATTTATTTTTGGAAATGGGAAATCATTTACTGACAGGCATTAAACCCCTGTTATCTCTGTCCAGCGATTGCAGCTCGTTCTGTTGTGCCTCACTCTCCGTGTCATAATCATCTTCTGGCAGATAAGAGAGATCCCTCACCATTTGTATGTCACGTGGATTGTATTGATAATATAGCTGAGGCTTCCCTCTGAATCTGTCCTTTATCAACTGAGTGAAATTCAGTCTTTTGCAGGACACATGGTTGATGACAAAGAATACGGCGATCTGTAAAATAACAAAAAGAATTAAATACAATAACATGTACAGTATTTTGTGCGCAAATAATGGAAATAAAAAAATAATTATTTAATAATTGTCTCGTTGGACAAATGTAATGTATTAAAATTTTATGTTAAGGCTCGGCTTTCTCCGCTGGTCATATTGGTTTTGTGATGTCATAGGCGAGAAATGACATGCAATAAGTTTCTTGCGTTATATAGCTTTATTTCTTAATTTTTCCTGGAAAACAATAATTCATGATTTCGTAATTTTGAAACCTGAAAAATGTGTAGAAAATTGAGATATCTGGCCGATATATCAGTAGAATCGCAAGATAATTTTTGAAATAACGGGACATTTTTCAGCCATATTCAGGCGATCGTGACAGTTGAGATGGTTAATAACAACGGCATCATAATCACTGATCTACTATAAAGTTCTAACGAGAAATTGCTTGTGCGAAGTCTTTCTTAGGAATTAATTACTCATAGTATTTGCCGGTATCTAAAATTATTTAAATAATCATCTAAATGAATAAGGTTTCGGTCTGATTCACGCTCATAGCGTCATTCAATCTTTATTGTTCATTGTATGCCAAAGAAAGATATAATGACGGTTACAATGCTGTAGACGTCGTACCGCAGCCAAAATATATTAATCTTCATCTTAGAGAAGAAAATGTGTCATCTTATCTAAAAGTTATCTGAGATAACGTTACATGTTAAGACTCCGAGTCAGTGATGCCAATGATGGCACACTGCAGCAACGTATGCAAGCGCACGCAGCCGTGTCTGTAAGCGTGCGCAGCTTCGGCTGGCTTCGGCTGGCTCGACGTGAGCCGACTGTCTGCTGTCTCGCTTTCCGATAATTATAGCTAACTACGCCTAATGCTATAGTTATCTCGTCAGCGAAACTGGCGGTATGGTACACGGAATTCTATTCATGATATTTCGCCGCTTGTAGTCCCCCTTTTTGAATACTCCTTTACATTTTTATTATAGTTTTTGCTTATATCTGAGTATATCGATACAATTGTAAAGGCTCGAGGCCAGTAAAATTTTGTGATTGATAAATAAATGCAAACTGTGCCCGAACGCATTTCGACAGGATATCATAAGGCGTTGGCCAAAAATCTACGAATGTTATCCATTCCAATATATATATTTTGTCGTAGAGATCTAAATATATTTAAGCATTTTCGACACAATTGTAGGCACAAGAGATGCCTACAAAGATTTTTTGATTATTAAATAAATACTAACTGTCCGAATGACACGCATTTCGATAAGATATCGTGAGATACTAACCACAATGTATTACCGAGTTCTTGTTTATATAAAATAGTTTTGGTATATTTCTGAGTATATTCAGAACGATTATATATTCTGAACAGCCCCAGGTATTATAAATGTTATATAATTATGCGATAAGGCATACAAAATATACAATATATAATTAATAATGCCTAGCACTTTTTTTCAATATATTTGTGATTATACAATGAGAATAAAGGCTCTAAGAATAAAAAGTATAAACTGAAAATAGGCCTGTAAGAACTTAGCACTGGGTAACAAATCATTTTATCATTAAGAACTATCGATCCAATGGATAGTTACAAGTGAAAACCTTTCGCTCCTTGTTTGGACCTTCTTTAATACAAAAAAGATATAAGATATGAAACTACGTTCGTAATTTCCTGTATTTTTATTCGACAACTTTTCTTATAAGGTTAATAATTTAGGAGATATTCGTGATAAAACGTTTTTCACATGATTTTTAAAGATGGCGGCCGAAATATAGCCAACCGCCAAATTTTATTATCGTATTTGTAATCAGGAGACAAAAATACATAAAAAATATATATATATGTTTAATTTTTTTGGTGCTGTAGCTCTTCTAGAAGTTTACCAAATTTTGTGTTGCGTGCCATTTCTTTGTTATTTGCTTAATTATGCGGCTGACTTGTAACATACTTGTTAAACTCGTAAAAATGGACGAAAAGCAAGATTAGCTTGGAATTTTATACATGGAAGCATATTTTCTACTCTTCAACAGCTGTGAAACCGTATGTTTTCCAATAGGGTCTTATTTCAAGTACCTTTTACGGCTTTTTATTGACTGCCAGGAAAGAAAAGGAGAGTTTCCATCCATTTTTATAAGCATCTTCAAGCGATCCTAAGTGTTATTTTATCCAAATATCTTTTCATTTGCAAATGGCACGTAATATTTTTCAACGTGTCATTTCTCGCCTATGACGTCACGAATTTAATATGGCCGCGGCGTCTATTCCGGATTTTGAGTATGTAGATATGAAGGAGGAATGCTGGAACCGAAAGTGTGTCCAAAATATGTACGAGAGAGAAAGGTATACAAGTGATATTCGTTCTTTCTGTCATGCGTCACAAGTAACGTTATATGTTAGAAACAAGTTATATCTCAGTTGTGATGAATAACAAATGATAACACCTGTTATAAATGACATTATATTACGATATAATAGTTAAAGTATAAATAAATGTTAATATATACCATAATGATATATAAGAAAATAATTTTTATTCACGCTTAAAATGCATCAATTTTGTAAATTTATGTCTAATATACTCTATTGAATCGGTAGCGTATTTGGCCTCATGGAATAAACGCAAATTGATATAAATTGCAATTATGCTTTTAATTAATTTTGTCGTAAGATTGTCAAATATATCTTGTTGCAATATGTGTTTTGTCATTGCGCTATTAAACACTAAATGGCAAATATCGTTAAACATTTTCATAGTCACAAGTGTTTTCATATTGTTTTTAATGCGAATTATATTATAGTTTGATCGAAAAACTGTTTCACAACATTATGTTATTTTTATGATAACGTCCGAAGGAAAATCTCGTCTGTTGTTAACATTATCTTCTCTGTTGTTAACATTAAAGACACTAAGTCTCCTCTATTGTTAACATTAAAAATACTAAATTTATATTTACTTATACATGATGTTAGGTGCTTGAATTAATTCTCGATGTTGACTAATAGAGGTCGGTAGTTATACTATTTCAACATGGCCGAAAATGGTTGTTGATGTATATAAAAGTACTGTCAAGAGGCTTTAATAATCAGTATGATTAGATTGTAGAGTCAGTGTGTAATCAGTGTGTCATTAGATCGTAGTGCAAAGAACACAATTTTTTATTGTATTGAAGATATCGAGTTTTGTACTAAAAAAAAGAGCACTTGCGGGAAGCATTACTTTTCTGCTTTCATCTCAAGAAATTTACTTCTGAAAGTCATCGTTTGCTAGTGGAGGCTTATGAGGAGCATGCTCTATCTGAAATACCTTGCAGAGATTGGTTTAGACGATTCAAAGATGACGATTTTGATGTGAATGACAAAGAGCGCTCTGGTCAGCCGAGAAAACTTTGAAGATAGAGAATTAAAGGTATTACTGGAAGAAAATTCATGCCAGATGCTCAAAGAGTTGTCGGAAATACTAAATGTCGATGAGTCAAATGTTAGCAATCATTTAAAAGCAATGGGAATGATCCAGAAGCTAGGAAACTGGGTCCCACATGAATTGAGAGAAAGAGACATTGCGTTTAACCATTTGTCAATTACTGCTTCAAAGACAAAAACAGAAGTCGTTTCTGCATCGAATTGTGACTGGCGTTGAAAAATGGATTTGTTACGACAATCCTAAGCGCAAAAAATCTAGGTGCGTCTCGGCGAACCGTTAACATCAACGTCAAAACAAGATATTCATGGAAAGAAGGTCATGCTGTGCATTTGGTGCGATTAAGTCGGTGTAGTATATTATGAACTAAACGTCTCTCCTTTCATACTATACAGTATATTATGAACTATTGCAGCCGAGTCAAACCATCAATGCTGAACACTACCGATAAGAATTACTTAATTTGAATCAAGCACTCAAAGAAAAAAAGGCTGCAATATAAGGCCAAAAGACATGACAAAATGATTCTTCTCCATGACAATGCTAGACTACATGTTGCAACACTAGTGAAGGAAATCTTGGAGGCATTTGGATGGGATGTCTTACCCCATTCGCCCAGACGTTGCTCCTTCAGATTACTATTTGTTTCAGTCGATGCAGCATGGCGTTTCTGAGCAGCACTTCAGTTCTTTCGAAGATATAAAAAAATGGCTCGATGACCGGATCGCCTCGAAAGTACCTGAATTTTTCTACCGTGGAATCCATGTGTTACCCACAAAGTGGGAACAGTTTGTAGTTTTCAAAGGACAATACTTTGAATATTATATAATGTACCGTTCTTTTGAGATAAACATGAGCCCTTGCAGCAAAAAATAGTAAGAATTAATTCAAGCATCTAATAGAAAGCCAATTTCTCGCGATCGCCATACAGAATTGTGATACTGCAACACTTTTGCTACGTAAGATATATATATTAAAGGTTCTAAAACGTATGTTCTTCGAACGTTCTCACTTTGTTTGAATATAACCAAACCAAGTGAACGTAAAGCGAACGTTCCTCGAACGTTTATGTGCTGCTTGGAAAAGGCAATTCCTCCTTCATATTTAAATATTCAGAGATTCCGGAGCCTTAAGTCTATATAGATTAAAGATGACTTGCACCAACTTCGATTAACCTAACCGACTGATTAACTCAACAGAATTGATTATTCGCATTTGCGAATTAGCTAAACTGATCGGTGCTCAATTCCGTTGAGTTAATCAGTCAGTTAGGTTATTCGGAGTTAGTGCAAGTCACCCGAAGGATTGGAAATTTGTCTTTAGTTATCTTTTTGTCTTGCATTGATCAATCCATCTTAAGCCCGTATCAGAATATCGACTGAAGACTGACTCGATTGCCGATTACGAATCGAAATTACGATTGTTGACTCTTCCCTATAAGTGTGTAATATTATTTAATATTAAGTAATATTTTGGGCATATTCTTAGAATATTAGACGTAATATTTTAATGATATTCTAATAATTATTTAATGTTATTGTAATAAATATTTTTATATTTATATTTATATTTTATATTTATATATTATATATGCGTGCGTGTGCGTGCGTGCGTGCGTGTGTGTGTGTGTGTGTGTGTGTGTGTGTGTGTGTG